AAACTTCTATATCTCCTCCTTGGCCTTATTAATGTATTTGACCATCGTTTCATCGCTGACCTTGAATTCTTCATTGAACGAATTCAGATCTAGTTGCAAATCAAACTTCGCTAGTAGATGTCAGACACCCATTTTGTATGTTAAACATAGACCGACTATTAGTGTTTCATATTATGCATAGTTGTTGGCGACTTCAAACTTGAGGATGACCAAATGTTAAAGATGCTCTTCAGTTGACTACTAGTGCAAGTCTGATTCTTGTTCTTGCTTAACTCAAGGCTCCATCAATGTGCAAGTTTCAGATCGGGTTGCTTGTGTAATTTCCTTCACATAGTTCCTCTTTTTCACATAAGTTTGACAGAAAGTCTGCTACAACTTGATCTTTAATCGTTGTTTGGGGAATTTTGGTTATGTCATATTCTCATAGATCCATAGTCCTAGTTGCGACCAAAATGTTCAGGACAAGTCAGAATGAATTACTCTAGTTCGATGTGCCAAGAAATATGATCGGAGCTTGTGAGGAGAGATAACTAGGTCAAATGTTAATTTTTCCATGGTAGGGTACCTAATTGCTGCACCTTTGAGAACATAACCAGTGTCCTAGATTGGAAATTTATTTCCTAGCTCCTCCCATACCATAACCAAATTGATGGCTTCGGGTCCATCTGCCAAACATAGAGTCAGTTTTTCCTTCGATTTCAGGCATTGTAGCAACAGTGATAAGGCTATTGATTGCTTTAAGCTTTGGAATGCTTGCTCACATTCGATCTACCATTCAAAGTTCTTAGCCATTCTTAGCATTTTGAAGAATGTTGCACATTTTTTGCCCAAATTTAAATGAATTGACTGAGTGTTGCTACCTGGCCGGTCAGCTTCTGCACTTTAGTGTTTCAGAGAGAGAACATATTCAACAGTGCTTGCAATTTCTTAGGTTTGTTCTTTAAACCTTCAAGATTCAGGAGGTATCCAAAGAATTTGTTGGTCGAAGCTCTGTTGGTCGAAGCTCCGAACGTGTACTTCAATGGATCGACTTTCATGATTTATTTTCTAAGTGTTTGAGATGTTTCTCTTAAGTCGTTTATATGTTCTTAGGTCGACTGAATCTTAACTAGGATATCATCCATGTAAACTTCAATATTATTTTTTTATTTTTGATTTGAAAAGATTACATCTACCAAATGCTAGCAGGTAGCCCAAAGTGCATTACATTATAACAATATAGGCCTTTGCTAGTAATAACTGTTGTTTTCTCCATGTTGGTTGGATATATCTTTTTCTGATGGTAGCTAGAGAAGGCATCTAGGAAGCTCATTACTGCATGGACGACTATTGAATCTACCTGAGCGTCGATCCTCAACAAGGGATAGCTGTTCTTTCGGTAGGCAGGGTTCATATTTATTAGAGAGAGAGGTTGGGTAATGCACCTCTAGAATGTAGCCTGCCTCCTTAAGCTTTTACACTTCCTCTCGAATTGGCTCATGCAAATCCATGTTCTGTGTTCTCATCTTTTTTTTTTCATTGGTCAGATGATTGGATTAACATTTAGGCAGTGGCATGAGACTCCATTGGGATTCCTCACATTTCAATGGCTAACTAGGCAAAAAGCTCTGATGCTCCTGGATAGTTTGGATCAGCAAGTCTTTATGTCCTGCATCAAAACTCTCACTGATTAGAAAAAAAATTGTCTAGTTCATTGTGGACAGCAAGAATCTTGATAGTGGTCTAATCGGTCACGATACCCCCTCTTGTTGGTTGTGAATGTCAAATAACTCATGTTCCATGTCGGCCACCGCCTAGATGTTGCATGTATGAGAGTGCTTCGAATTTCCCCAAACAGTAATTATTTCTCCCTTTCATGGAAGCTTTATCATGACATGGTATGAGGAGACAACAATTTTAAAGTCATTGAGCAGTGGTTGATTAAACATAGTGTTATAAGTAGGTGGTGCATCAACCACCAAGAAGTTTTCTATGTTGGTAAACTAGTTTTCACCTTCCCCTCAAGTGAATGATAGCCCGATTATTCCTAAGGCCTCCTTTTGCTCGCTAGAGAAACAATAGAGAGTCATCATTCAGTCAATCGATAGATGCATATTATCAAAAGTTGACTTGGAGAAGATATTCCTTGAACTTTTAGTGTCAATCAAAATATTACTTACATTGTAGTTGTTTATCATTATTGTAACCATGAGAACGCCGTTGCAGGGGTTTCCTTTGAGTATAAATCTGTGTTAGTAAAAATCATTGGGGGATGAAGCTTTCAATTTAGAGTGAAAGAGGTGGCACAAAGTTCCCCCGTTTGGAGCCTTTGATGATTGGACCGCATAACCAAGTCTCCTCCCATGATGGCTGACACTATCCCCACAATGTGGAAAATGTTGGCTTGGATGACCTCCTTAGAGTCCTCTTCCACTGGGGCTTTCTATTGCCTTTGGTTTAGCGCCCTTTGGGCCACAAATCTTTGAGTTTTTCGGCCCAAATCAACTCTCTGACCAAGTTTCAAACATTCATGCATTCCTCCGTGTCATAGTGATGGTCCTTGTGGTATTTGTAGAACTTGTTTGTGTTCAGAAGAAAAGCTTTGGCACTTATCGGTAGAGCTTTTTTAAAGTACTTATTGTCTTGTATTGCCTCCATCGATTCATCAATCGAAGCACTTTATTGAGTGGCTTTTGGTACCTCTCGGCAGTTCGATAATCGATCGTTCGATCAGCTCCATCTTCCTCTTCCCTGGTTTCTTTCAACCCCTTTATCGCCATGTGGTGACTGATGGTCTTCATGTATAGGACGTGGGCCGTCCTTTGGCCTCCACCCATCATCTTGTGAGGCTCACTTCTGCGAGTGTTGGTCATATTGTTTGGCTTTTTGGTAGGACATATAAACATACTCTTCCGCCATAATATGGTGATTGACTAATTCTAAGAGTTTAACCAGGCCATTGATTTGTTGCAAACCTAGAGCATATTTAAATTGCTTGCTCCTTAGCCTTGAGTCAGGGTAGTCTGTGCTACTATGGGTTCAAGATCCTACACTTACAACATTTCTTTCCAGAGCCAAGAAACACACAAATGAAGGTTCTCGTTCAACCCTTGCTTGTGGTGTCATCTGACATGTGTGTTCTTATGAGGTATATGGGCACCAGTGAACTGCTACTTGAACTTTCCTTTAAATTTCATAAAAGAGGTGATTACCCCCGTTAGAAGGCCATTAAACCTCCTAAGGGTCGAATCTCTCAGTGTGATGTAGAATAACTGACACTTCAGCTTGTCAGAGATTTTGAGAATGTAGACAACCAACTCAAGGGAAGTTATGTGGTCATTTGGATCGCTTTGACTCTTATATGATTCCAGAGGAGAAAGTTTTTAACTTCTCCGCTGGCTCAGTATCAGAGATCTGCTAAGAGAACACATTCTCCAGCTGATGGCAAACCTCCATTCATCCAATCAGTCAACTAACCAACAACTTAAACCCAACACTATTATGGTACTGGGAGTCTTCAATTCTTTCTGCCCTCTGAGCCGATCAGCGACCTTGAGGTTTAGGTTCTTCTTCTCAGGAAATCTGCTCCTGAGTAGCTTGAGCACTTCCTTCGAGTAGTGTGCAAGTCAATTCCTCCATTTGATCTCCAAGTTCCTATATTTGCTATTGTACAAATCCCCTCTTGTACTCCATGTTTGTAGTATCTTCCAGATGAGTTCCTTCCCCGTAACGTGCTCCTCTTCTTATTAGTGACATGATTCCATGCCCACCGCACCATTTAGAATGTTAAATCCAATAGAGCATGGGACAAACAAGTGAAACAAAGAGAGGGAGAACGAGAATGATTGAGAAAGACAACACACAATAACACACGAGTCTTGATAGAGTAAATTCAATAGTCATTTATTGGAGAAATGACTTCCTATTTATAGGTCCGAGGGGTATCTAATGAAAAATTACATGTCCTTCCCTGCTTTAATAACGACATTACAAGTTATTATAACACATTTCACATTTGTAACTGATTCCAACACCCTTTAATATTCATAACTGGCATTAACTCCATTTCATATTAATAACTTCTTGAAGAAGGGCATATAATGACTATTCAGTTGTTTGAAAACCTTTGGCTGACCGACATACATTCGATTGGCTGAAAGGACCTCGATCAGTCCTCTCAATGAAATCTTACGTAAAGATCCTCCTATAATTAGGGTAAACTTGAGCTGTCAGGCAGAAGCGTGTATCACCAAATCTTGCGGGTTGCTCTCCTTGGACAAATGACCTTCTTAAAGGATCATAAATGTGTTTTGTGGGATGCCCTTTGGTCATCTTTGTGAAGAATTCCAGAAACGGCTAAGGGTGTTGGTCATTAACTACTGTCTCATAGATTATGTGTCTATCTTCATTCACTCGACTAACACTTGACATTTTCTTCTTTTGATTACCTCGACACACCATCCTTTGGAGTACATAAATGGGACCCATTAGATTTTCTCGTGATTCATGCAATCATACTTTCAATATAGAGATGTGATTCACCAATATTTTTGACTTCAACATATAATATAAGTTTACCCCACGTGACACACTCATTAAAAATTAATAACACTTCGAGAAGCATCTATAAATACCAAAAAAAAAAGCGAAAAATAACCGGCCTTAAATCAAAATTTGCCAAAATATTTAAATATTGACTTTATGAAGAACCTTTTGAAAGTTGTCACCAATGTTTGAATATAAATTTAAAATGCATCAAATTTAATTTTTAAAATAATAATAAAAATATTTAAAGCCGTAAACTTATGGTATTAACTAACAAACAGACATTCTAATTTATTTTATTTAATACGTTTTGTGCAATTCACTTTCAAAACAGTCCGTTCCTTGAATCTCATTTATTTCGACTGATATAAAACGTTTCCTTTTCCTTCGCAACTGCGCCCGTTACGTCTTTCCTCCCAGGTCAAACACAACGTTACCAAGCAAGTCTTCCCAATCTTCTCCCATTCCTTCCAATCCGCCGGTTTTGCTTCCTCCAATCGCTCTGTGATCGATCCAAGCAACCTCCGAAGATCTCCTTGATCTCGGTAGGGTCTGATTTTATTTCTTCTACTCCGATTTCGAGGTTTGTTTGAGGAGGGAAAGTCCCCATTTGATGGGATTATGGTTGTTTGAGGGACGATGAAGAGATCGAAGAGCGTGGAAGCTCTGGTCGGGAGGAGATGGAGATTGTCTCATATCCTGTTCGCTGTGGCTGCGCTTTATCTTGTAATCATTGCAGTCAAATTTAGCCACATTTTGAAGATCGTCGGCTTGATGAGCGACGACCGGAGTTTTGCCGGCATCGACCGTTCAGCTGGCGGGGATGATGTGGCGGGGGCG